TGTAAATTGGTGGCACAGCCATTAATGATGCACAAATGGCAGCAGTTAACAATATCACTGATGTGACTTGCCCCATCGCTGTGAATCCTCTATTGAGTAATGTTTTAGTAGCCAAACTTTTAAGTATTGGATTATCCAAATGAAAATTGGTTAGGATTATACCACAGCCTTATTAAAAGACGCATTTTAAATGAGGTGCAAAGGGTATGACTCTGTTCATTAGTATACATAGAACTGTTGCAAAAAGTTAATAACAGGGATGGGGATGAGGTAGCATCTACATTTTAATACCATAATAGGTAATTCATAAGAGTTTAGATTACTCACTGATACATACCTATGTTTAAAATCAGTCTTTGAAAATGCATGATTTCTGAAACAGACTACTAGCTAAATGTATGTGGAATAATAGTTCCTGCAGACCTGGTTTGATGCTAAAAGTACTAAGTATCAAAGATTGCAATGGCTAAAATATCTAAAAATGCCCGGTTGTTTCCTCACTGCTTTGGTGAGTAACGCTTAGTGAAAGGAGGACCCAAGACCAAAATACTTTTCCTGGAGCATGAGACAATGTCCTATGATTTCCAGACATCTAGTATGCAAACATGGAATAAATAATCATCCCTTGCTCCTATCAGTAACTGGAGGAATGCTGTGTCTTTTTTTTTTGTCACATTTCATCAAGACCTAGATTGGTATAATTTGCATTTTGCTTACATTTTTTGCCTTCAAAACAGGAATTCAGTTAAATTCTGAAGTCTTGTTTCCCCTCTGTGAAAGAACACAAACATTTTCAGTGTGTGTTAAGAAGCAGTAGGTGACTGCAATGTTCGTTCAAAGTAGCAGTCCTGCAAAAAAAATGTGAGGAAAATGCATGGCTGGTAACCTTGCCATGAATCAGTAGCTTTACACAGTGAGGCAGGATACCATACTGGAATCATATAAAGTGGAAGATGCTGTGCGAGGCATGTAAAACAGTCCCTCCACTGCATTTAGCATTAGTGAAGCCTCAGCAGGAGCAATGTGTCATTTGGAACACTTGAGTTCAAAGAAATGGGTGGCCCAAGGCAGAACATACAGAGGGGCAGAGCAGCTAGAGGGAATCAGCAAGAATGGTCATACATCCAGGAAAAAAAAAAAAAAAAAAAACCCTACTAGGAAACACAGAGCAGGGAGAGGTTTTGGATTTTTTTTGTAATCTAGGTGATAGGACTGAAGAGAGATGTTTGTTCCAGGAAGTGTAAGAAGTTCTTGCAGTGAAGGAGTGGTTGTCTGCCTTCTGCTGGGGAGGAAGAGATGAAGTAATGGCACTAACCTTGTCTGTTGTGTTAGAAGGAAAAGAAAAACACTACAATGAAGAAGAATGAGAGAAGATTGCCTGAGAGTTGTGGAGCATTGATCACCAGAAACTTCAGGATCAGGGTGAACATGAGTGGTATCATGTCAGATCAGACAGATGGGTGAAGTTCTTCACAGATCGATGAAGTTCTATAGGGTTTTACCTCCCTTGCTTGAAATTAGCCTGCTTTTTAGGATTTCTTTTTGCACTTTGCTAATAATGTTTAAATTAAAAGTACCTAAAAATATTCCTCTGAGGATCTTTGGTTTTTTTTTCAACAGTAATAGTGAGTGAATAGGGATTTCTGGACAGATCCTAATCTTGTGCATTCACTCACTATTATAAGAAGGAGTCCTACAAAGCCTAATAGAGGACAAGATAAGATTTAGTGCTGTGCCATGGTCACAAGGTCGTTCTTTAATGAGAATGAATTTCTCCCCCTGCTGCTCAGGTGGGTTTGGGAGGGGAGAAGTGATTTTTCTTGAACTTTTTTCTACAGGATTGCCAGACATGTTTGCTGGTCTCTGAAATACTAGCTATACATCACTGCATGGCTTTTCACATTTGGTTTAGGATCATAACAGGTTTCTCATTTGCATTTGTCTGACATGTGGAAATTATTTTATGTAATGGCAAAAGCATTTATGCCTTTATCAGTACAAAAATGAGGGACTTAAGGTTGATAATTTGTAGTTATTAAAAAAATACGTAGCTGCCTTAGAGTGTTTTCAGAACATAGTATAAAAATTGCTAAAAGATTTTGCTTCACTTGCTCAGCCCAAGTGATTTGAATAAGCAGTTTCAACTTTCCAGTTTTTTCTGGGTAATTAGAATTAAACTGAAAATTAACAAATCAAAGTAATGCTTATCCAGATTTCTCCCTTCTGTTTCTAATGACTGCTTATTTTTCTTTGCAAATCAATTCCAATGTGTAATAAGTTGCCCAAAGTGACAGATGTGGGGAGCTGTTTTCTTTTTTTTTTTTTTTTTTTTCTCCAGATAGTGGATTTGATTAAAAGATACCTTACAATAATCCCTGACCCATGTATTGACTTCTGTTAGTGGACTTGAGTGTTTTTCAGGGATTCTTCAAAATAAATACACTTTAGGTATACCAGTACTATCCCTATATTGACCTCTGGTAGACATCCATCCCCCTATTAAATTTAAATTGAGTGTTCTTGTTTGGAAAATTCTTTGAACTAAAAATGTTATTTCAGTCTATGCATACAATGATTTTAGAAATGGAAGCCTCCAGAATAAGACATCTGATGTAACTTTTTCTAAAACTCTGATGTTGTATTTTTACAGTGATATAACTGTGTAAATATTTGTGTCAGTAGGAAGAACCTCCTATTCCAAACAGATTTGTTTCAGTTAAGGGCCTTTGACTTTAGAAAAAGGTGAACTGAGTATTCCAGACCAACTGAGGGGATTTTTTATTTCGTGGTTTTAGGCGACTCCTACACAGATGTCAAAATTGTCTCTATTGTTAAATGTGTTCTATAACTTCTGAAGTCTGAATGTGAGTCAAGCTATTGATACTTACTTTGTAACTAGTACTGTCCTATCTCTTTGTGCTTTCTCATCTTACCTCTACCTGCCTTGAACTTAGGATAGACGATCTTTAGTGCAGGAATTACCCAATGCTGTGCTTATTAATCATCTGGTGTAATGCAGTCTTTGTGTGAATAGGGCTTCTTGTTCTTACCAAAATCCAAAGAGTAAAATATTCTAAGGTGAAACTATCATGAGGATGTTAAAAGCATTTTTGTAGAGTATTATCAACCTGTGAATTTGCAGGGGGAGAAATTGTACTTTATGTCCATGTATTATATATATGAAAAATTGTAGTGCCTGTGTAATGTATTGTTTACTCTACTCAAAACATAATAATTAGACATGTAGCTTATTAACACCCCTATATATTGATACAGGTTTTTGTATTCCTTGAGTCACAGTGTAGCAATAGAAAGGTTTCTGTAGTGAAATGGTGTTTTCATATCTGGCAGATTGAATTGCCATAAAATTAAGCACTAACTCCGAATTTAAAGATGTATGGTACTTTTTTATTTCTAGGACTTTTGTAGAAGCAGTTTAAATAGAATGCTTTGAGAGCTGTGTGCCCACATACTGCATTTTTTAATGTTGAAGCAGTACTTACTTGTATGCCTTTATTAAAAAAACAAAAAGGGGTGGTGATGTGGGGGACAATTTCTTCTGAAAATTACAGCGCTAATACAGCACAAGTCAAATCTGTTGTTATTACTGTTGGAAAGGCAATAAGATATGTCTTACCTTTTTTGATCACATTTTTGATAACGTCTTCCATCCTTAACCTGTTCTCAGAAATGCAACTCCTCAGATTCTTTTTCCATATTTTGTCCATGGATTGTAGAGCTTCAGAAATCCATTTTGGAACCTTTCATAAATAGTAATTTAATTTCTCAAGGCATTTTTTTCTGGACTACTTATTTTTTTGTACCTTGTTCTACACAATAAGAGTTACTTCTAGATTGATATCAAATTTTGGTCTTTTGCCTCTTTGCATGTGTTTACATTAAAGCCTGATAGATTCAGGAAGGCTTGAGAATATTGTAGAATGTGTTTAGGAAATCACACTAAGATACTAGGATTTATTAAGTTCACTTTTAGGTAGTCTAAACAGTTTTACTGGGGTACTCTTCAGATAAATTTAAAGTGGAAAAGCAAAGTGAGAGCTGTAACTCAGCATTGTTATAATTCTTACAGGTCACAACTGAATAGAAGCCCCTGTTTTGTCCAGGATTTACAGAATGAATGGGTATCTAAATCAGTCCATTTGAGAACAAGTCTGGCATACACTATCAGCTTTAGTTGTGAGTTTCCTTGTTTCCCCTCAAAATAAGCACTGCAGGTTTCATTATATAAACAATGTTAGGATTTGAGGAATCCTCTCACTACAGATGCTGAGAGATGATTATGAGAAACAGGACAGCAGAAAATAGAAGGTTATGAAGTGAGTTGTCATATTTCTAACCAGCCAGACTTTAGCTCAGTTGTTTAACTTGCCTCCATAGTAAAACAAAGGGAAGACAGAGAGAGAAATAACATAAAGTCGATGCTTTCCAGTTTTGCAGCTGTATGAGTTGGTAAACACTTGTAAATAGGAATATTTTGGATGAGTTTTCTCTCCAGTATCAAGTGATATGGTAATGTTTCATCTGTATCTCACTTGTGTATTTTTTATGTACAATGTGTCTGCAAATGTGCCTAATGACCCTGGGCAAAACATGCTGTAGAGCTGGCTTCCCATCCCTATGTGGGGGGTGGTGGGCAGCAATGGCTCTGCCTCCCACCAAAAGGATCTAGGGCGATTTGGGTAGAAATCCCCGTGGCTCAGTGGCTGCCAGCCCATGTGCGTGGAGCACAGACACCAGGGTGTCAGCAGGGAACGTGGTGCTGGAGCACAGCAACGCCGAGAAAAAACGTGAGGAAGATGCAGTCAGGGAAAGTCTGTGTCTGGGTCCTTGCACAGCTTTGCTGTGACAGAGAAACTTGTCATTTTTATCAAAACAACATTGGTTTAAAACTGGCAAAACAAAGCTTAACTAACTTTTCAGAGACAAATGTTTAGGTTTATCGTGGTATATGTATTGTATATTTATTTTTTTTTCCACAGAAACCTGCTAATATTTTAGTTATGGGTGAAGGTCCTGAGCGAGGAAGAGTAAAAATTGGTATGTTTATATCTTTGATAAGTCCCAGTGTAGCATTTAAGTTAGAATGTTCTGAAGGTGCAGTTGTACCATCTAAAGTAGTCACTGTAATACCAGTATGTGCCTGGGCACATTGCCTAAATGCTGTTTTCTGAGTGACTGGCTTCATCATATTAGCCCCATGTACCAGTTCTGACAATGAAATGCTGTAGCCTCATCAATAAAAAGTGGAAAATGTCATTATGTTTTGCTTAAGTGGGTGTTTGTGTGGGGTGGGGGATTTTGATGTGGGGTTAAAGATGACAGCTAGCTGGGAGGATAGGAGGAGAAAGAAATGGGATTTTAAATTTTCCTCCATTTACCTCTAATGCCATGACATCTTGCTGCTGCTTATGAAAATCTAAATAGGGAACTACTCATTTCTACAAACCTTAAATCTTATAATGGAAATCAAAGATGGCATTTAGCCTTTAAGACATTCTTGAAAGAGTAGGCAGGTCCCTTGAAGATAAACACAAGGGATCTTAAAAGTCCAGCAAACACAATAATCCATCCAAATGCTTAGTGAGAGCTACTGCTGAATGCTTAGCCTGGGGTGTACCAGGTTAGAAAGGACCCAGCACTTCCCCACTGTTGTAGCATTTTTGGGTGGGAGTTGCTATTTGCAGTGAGAGGATAATTTGCAGAAGTTCAATTGTTTTAAACTAAATACATAAATAAAAATTAACAGTAGTCTAACAATAATAAACTGTACCAGGCTGTGTATTATCATGGCAGTGCTATAATAGCAGGCTGCTAATGCACAGCCTGCTTACATTTGTTGTGGTAATGTAGCCCCATTTGGAAGGGTTTTTTAAAGCTAGTTCATCTTTTTCACTTCCCTCTGGCTTTCTTTTATGAGATTATTCTTCTGCATTGTTGGTCTGTTCTGTTACTGTTTTGTTTTTTGGAACTATATTGTTAATCACTACTATAATGATTCAGGGTAGCATTTTCTTGGAGCATTCAGTGCTGCTCTGGGCCTTCCCTTTGATAAGTTCACTTTTAGTATTGGATTATCCAAATGAAAATTGGTTAGGGTTATACCAAAGCCCTTTGAAATACAGGGAGCGATGGGCCAGGGTTGAATGCTTATGGAGATCCTACCCTGAAAGTTTTTCATGCCTTTCTGAGCTTTAAGGTTGACAGTAGGGATTGAGGTCTGCACAGAAAACAGGTACAGCACGGACAACAGAAGGGAAAATTTATTCATATTACCTTACTCTTCATGGAGGGTTGCTTTCAAAACAGAGTATGTAGGTCATCCTCTGGACTCACTTTCAACAGTGGTGGTGATATTTGCTGTACACGACTACTTGATAGTAATTGCACATAGACCACCCATTTATTTCTTAATTTATAGTTTTGAATTAATTTGAGAATAACTTAGTAAACAACCAAATTAAGTCAGACTCTCTTAATGGACAGGTGAAAGCTTCTGTATTGGGCCACCAGTCCTCTGAGCCATCCATTCCCAGTGGGGAAAGAGGGAGGGGAACCTTGGATTTCTAAGTGTATTATCAAAATGTAGATTTTTTTTCTTATTTTCTTAAGATTGCCACAGCAGTAAAAGAATGCAGAAGTTACACACATAGCAAGGGCTTCCACTTCTCCAATGTAACTAAGTTTTCTAAAAAATACATAACTGGTATTTAACTTTAAAAATAATTTTTATAGGCGTTTTGTGTCATTTTGGGTCATAAATTCACTTTCACTTTTCACTTTTCCTTATTATTCATATTATTAGTGACTTGATCAATTTTGAGTAACTGATATTTTAATGTAGAAAACTGTAAAATGTTTCTCTTTTTAAATGCATTAAAGCAATCATAAATAGGAATGCATATGAAAAAACAATTAAGGATCGTGTAGTCAAGTCAGAGACCCATATGTACACTGCAGTTTTCCCTCAGTGAGCTGTAGGGCAGGTAGGTCCTTTTCCCTCAGGGTGGCTACTCATCTCATTTCATTCAAGTTTCTCTCAGCATGTGAATATCCCTACATGATAGGATCACTCTGTCTTAGGATTTGGGGATTGGTGGCTTGGGAAAGTCATTTGGTGGGAGAAGCTGCATATTTTAATCTCTGCCCATTTTTTCCTGAATTTTTTATGTTTAGTAGTTCAGACAACTTTCTAGGCAGTTGTATACTACCAATTCTAAAAAGCAGTTTTTAACGGTATAGTGTCCACAACCAAAATTTTAAAATCATCGCCTGAATAGTATTCAATGCTGGTATATTGATATTGGAAATGTATCTTGATAGAAAATCAGCCAGGAGGCAGATGCTGTAGGCTTAGTTGCTGTTTTTGTGTGAAGGAAGTCTTGCTAACTTCATGAGGAGGGAGCTTTTGTCATGTACACGTATGTATTATAAATCATTCTAACCTAATCTGCATTCTGCTCACTTTAAAAATTGCTGCCTTTTGAAAAACCATCCTGTAATAATGGAAGTATTTTACCAGAGAATTTCAGGTAAAAATGAGTCAGAATTCACTGCTGTCCTGAGGAGTGGATGCACTTCTTCAGAACAATGGTTAATTCTTTGTTGTAAATGACTCATGTTAGTAATGATTTATAATGATATACTTTGTAGGTGATGCCATCCAGTAACTTCTAAAGAAAGAAAATCTGCTCAGAGAGTTCATATCTGCTGCAGTCTGCCTTTGTATTTTATTTAGCAGTGATGATAGTGCTAACAAGTAAACTCAATCAGTTTGTTTTAAAAAAAGAGAAAATGGTTCGTTTCTCTCAAATTTTAAAGCACCTCTCTTTGAATTTTGCAGCTGACATGGGCTTTGCCCGATTATTTAATTCACCTCTGAAGCCTTTAGCAGACTTGGATCCAGTAGTTGTAACCTTCTGGTATCGAGCTCCAGAGTTGCTTCTTGGAGCAAGGCATTATACCAAAGCTATTGGTAAGTAAATTGGACAAAAAGGTGGTATTTTGTTCTTTATGTAAACTGTACCCAAGTATTAAAGCTTTGATAAGTAGTTCAAAGGACAGCAGCTGAGTTAAAGGTAGTTTCTTGAAGAAATATTAATCTTTGACAAATTGTTTAGTTTACTGTGGTCTCAGGCTATATATAAGAATGAAATATATTGCTGGGTTTTGGCTCCAAATGCCCTGGAATGCAATCTTAAGTTTGTGGCTTTCATACAAGACTTTCATAAATGCTGTTAGAGGCAATGAAAAATATGGAGGCATCTTTGAACTGCTAGTAGAATTCATTAGAATGAGTGTGAGGCACAGTGCATTAATTTTATTGCACGGTTTATTACCTAGTGTAGTAAATACATGAAATAAGGAATGTACAGAATGGACAATGTAGTGGCTGCACTGAAGCTAAACTGTAAAATTAAGCTGCATTTTAGCCTCTCTATGTCTTTTTCAAAGATGGATCACAGATGGCCAGAGCTGCTGTGGGCTGTAGAACAGGGATAACAACCCAGCAGCAAACTGGAGGGAGATTCACCTTTAGTGGATAGATCAGCTTTTCTGTGGAGGGGAAGAGAGACAGTAGGGAAAAGGATTGGAAGTTTTCTCATGCTGGCTGATTTAAAAGCTATTATATTAAAGACTGGCAGCCGGTTTTGAAGGAAATAAGTTCCCCAGCAGCTACACCGCTTGCTTTGCACAGACATGGAGGTTGTATGTCAGCATACTATGTTGCTGTTTCTGTAACCTGAAAGTCTTCCTCAGAAGTCAGTCTTTCTGGTTTTGTTTTTTTTTTTTTAAATCATATCAGTGTTTCTGTCAGCAATTCTCATGTTTATGCCTTAAATGTATTTTCATTTACTTTTCTCTTAATACTGTGTTTCTTTGTAGATCAGATGCATTTCATTATATGTTCCTTTAAACTTCTTAATTTGTTGTACTTGCATGTTCCCTCACTTTACTCGCATTTCTTCTGATTGTAGCATGTGAAAGTGCATGGGCAGTCGTAGCCTTTAGCGCATAATTTTTTCAGTGTAGATAACAAATGACTGTGTAAAAACACTGAGTAATGGGGTTATGCTGTCTCTGTTACTTTCTTTTGTCCTTGTTTATGACCTTGTTCATTCAAGGCTCATTGTAGCATTACTTTAAGTTAAAAAATGCATTTATAAGTATTAGAAAAAAAAAGAGAGAACAATTGGGAAAATTCAGGCTGTCTGATTAGAAAGTAGGGAAGCAACAGTTAAAACAGAAAGGATGGAGGTCTTTTGGTTTTTTTTGTTTTTGTTTTTTTTTTAAATGAACATTAAGAAAAAGTTGAGAGGCATGTGGTCTTGGAGCAATTTGCTTTTTACTCTCTTTCAAGGTGTTCTACATAGCATTTGGTTTATTCCAATACCACTACTTTTCAGCTTATATTTTTGGAGTCATTTAATCCTACTTAAACTTGACTGATTAGTGATTGTGCATTTCTTGGTCACAACAGTGAGGCAGTGAATGGGCAAGATGCTGGTTGGTTTTTCTTTGTGCATTGACAGTTAACCCAATAGTTTCCTTCACCTTTTTCTTAATCAAATGAATTTTTTTACTATGTTAAATAGTATCTTCACTTCAAAACCCCCACAAAAACATGTATAATATTCTCCTAGCTCCTATGTAGTTACTGAATTGAGTACCTCCATCCGTAACTAAAAGAAAAAGTTGAGGAAATATTGCAGTTCTGAAATAGAAACTTGAAATTTCCAATGCAGGGATCTTGTCTCTGATAACCTAAGCAGTAACGTTCTACCTCATCCAGGTGCTTTTGGAAAGATTCATTTGTTGTTGTGTTTTTTATTTGTTTGTTTTTTTTTTTTTATTTCTGTTCTCCTTTTTTAAAGATATTTGGGCCATAGGGTGTATATTTGCAGAGCTGCTAACGTCAGAGCCAATATTCCATTGTCGACAAGAAGATATCAAAACTAGTAATCCTTATCACCATGACCAGCTGGACAGAATATTCAATGTAATGGGATTTCCTGCAGGTACATACTGTATTTTTTATCACCACTGTTCAAAGAAAGATATCTGTATTGCTTTCTTTGCATATGAAGGTGGCAGCTGATCAAAGCCAAAGAGCTCTTCAAACACAATCTTTGTTTCATGAGTTACAAATCTGGGATCTCATGGTCAAATTAGATATCTGCCCATTTATTAATAATAGGCTTATCTTTGTGTATACATGTACCAATACTTTATTTTTTTAAAGGATTGTACTTAATGGTGGATGATTAAAAATGCGAAGGAATATTTCTGCATTTCTTCATTACTGATCATTGATTTGGAAGGCAACTGATGATTTAGGGAACCAAGCAAAAATATATACATTTAGTGAATATTATACATTTGTTTAACTCATGCTAAATTAACATAGCATTTGGAAGTAATGGAGGGTATTAAATTTTTTTTCCCTGGTGGAAATATTGGGTATGGTGAACATTTCTTTATTCTAAACTGGAAGAATGAACTGGTTGCATGAACAAATTATAGTGTGGATATCATTTGTTGTATTTTCCCCTCAGTGTTGGTAAATTTTTTTTTCTGCAGGCTGCCTTGCTTCAGTTAATACTTTGTCTTCTGTTGTTCATGTGATTGCGGGAGTCAGAGTAACAAGGGCTTTATTTTCACTTTTTGTTTATCTTTCTCCTCATGGCTTGTGTCCCCTGCTGTTGTCCATTCACTGTTAATTATGTTTTCCTTTATTGTTTTTCTGGACTTGTCTCTTTCTTTCACATGAATGTTGTGGTCTATATATTTGTGTGGCTCTAGAATTTTGTTACTAAATGTGCTCTTACTTTTCCCTTTCACTTTTTTGTGTGTGTGTATATACTTCTTTGCTTGTGTGCTGCTGTATGAGATTCACGGAAATGTTGCCTTTGCATATTGTGTCCTTAGTTTTGCTTCTTTAAGCAGTACTATCAGTACTATTTTCTGCTTTGAACTAGAATTTTACCCTTTTATGCTTTTCTTACTTCATGTGGGTTTTACATTGGTTTTTTTGTAGATTACATAAGTAGATCATACTCTAATTTTGGTTTTCTGATTGGTTTAATTAATCCTTTCTAATGGTCTGCATTTGACCTTTGGAGATCTTTGGTTCTTATCAAGAAATAATTTTCATTCAATTGAAGCAATTTTTTTTGCATTTTAATTGATACTTGCCATATCTGAAACAATTCCATGTCTCTGGGATAGGAAAGAGGAGAATGTTTTGTTAAACTAAGTAATAATTAACTAATTAATCTCTGATTCATTTATTTGTTTATTTCACACTCTTAAATGCAGTGTTCTGTAGTTATGATCAGTAAAGATTTGAATTGAACCAAATTGCTTGCCCACAGAGAGTTTTCAGGAGTTAGAGCTTAAGACATTTGAAGCTAGGTAGTGATAAGTGAGCATTTTGTTTTATTTTTAAATCCATTTTGTCCTTGGTCTACATTGAGATTAATTATTCTCTGAGTGTGGAAACTTTACTTTTTCTTAACCTTTTGTTGGCTAACAGTATTCCTTACTTTGCAGAAGTACTTTGGGAATTTTCCTGTAACTAGAAGTGTTGTCAGAACAGAGAATTCCTTAGAAGGAGACACTGTTTGCTGGAATCCTGTGTCCTCCTGTCCTAAGATCACAGCTGTGTCTAAATAAATAAAATAACAGTCCTGAAGGGTTCAAGCACAAGTCCTGATGTGTTTTTCTTCAGCATTGTTTTGTGGGCACTGTAGCTGGCATCTGCTTTTTCAAATTCTTGAGTTAATCAGCACACAGCTGGAACCTCTTAGGTGTTGGTATGATTTATTGTGAAGAGGTGATGAAGGAATAGGAGCCAAGGAGTACTAAGAAATAAGTAAGTGCAAGGTTAGAGAAGCGGAATTAAAAAAAAAAAAACATCAAGAGTGTGGAGATATTTGGAAATACTTTGTTTTACTTGGAGAAAAAGGAAAAAAAATAATTAATGCTGCTTTGCAGATAAGGATTGGGAAGACATAAAAAAGATGCCTGAACATTCAACTTTGATGAAAGATTTCCGGAGAAACACGTAAGTCTGAGTTGAGCTTTCTTAAGAAAGCTTATTTTCTATCTCCTTCCTGCACTGAATTTCTTGTAGTTCAGGTTGTTTTCTGTGCAGATGCCAAACAAAGACTATGAAATTGTTATGACATAGATTGTGAAAAATGAAAAATCGAGTTGTTTCATAGTGGTGAACTTGGCCTGTTGAGGTAGTGTGGGTCAGACGAGTAGCCAGAGAGTCTGTGAAGGGTAAGGTAGCTGGTGTGAAACAGGTGATGCCAGTAAGACCCCACACAGTTCTGAAGTTTGCAAAGCACAGTGTGTTAAAGCACAGCGGATCCCAAATCTCTGGTACTGGCAATGATTTTTCTGTAACAGCTGCATAAAAGGGGTCTGGTAACTTTTTACCATTTCCAACAACAGCGGGTATAATTGTCAGGTTTGGTGTCTAGGGTAGATTCCAAAGGCTAAGGAAGAAAATACCCTTCAGCTTTGCTGTCACATTGCCACAGTCAAATACCTGCACTTAAACTGTCACCTGTTGCCTGATTTCCATGCTGAGGCATTTCGGGCTGTACAGTTACATACATTTCTTGCATCTGCCATGCTATTGTAACCATTTAGAAACCTGTTTTTTGAGTGCTCTTCCAAAAAGTGACTTTGTGCATGTTCCTGTAGGTTGCAGGAAAGCATTCAGATGGGCTTAATATTTATCTCTGTCTTTACTGTCATGAGAAATAACATAACCAAACAGTATAATAGTATAATTGCTAACAGGAAGTTTAAATCCAGTTGATAGTTTGATGTCTGCATGTGGGTTAAAAGTTTGCTTTTTGTGTGGATATGATGTGCTTTTATAAGGATGCGAGGGAAACATGCCTTTTTGCAGTTCTGATTTTTAAGCAATCTCTGGTGTTTGTAGCTGTGGTTTTCCCCTGCTTATTGGATTTGCAGGGAGACTAAACTGTTCTTACTAATACGTTTTGTGGGTACTAAGGAAGCTCTGCAGTATCAATGATTTGTGTATTAGAAATATCACTTTTGTTTCCTTTTCTAGGTATACCAATTGCAGCCTTATCAAATATATGGAAAAACATAAAGTCAAACCAGATAGTAAGGCATTCCACTTGGTAAGTTCCTGCATGCATGAAAAATCAAATCACTCATGTAAGTTACAATTGTTTGAAGTAAGAGTTGAGTAAATAGATTATTTGGGAGGTGGATGGGAGTGAGGGAGGAAAAGGAGATTTTTCATCTTGGAGCTGAGTGGAATAGATTGGAGAAAAAGGAAGATGGTGGAGAGGCCTGAATGTCCAAGGGCCATGTGGTTTTTGCTCAAGTCATCGGAAGCTGTACCTTCCCAGATGATGAGACACAAGGGGTTTTTAAGCAGCTGTCTTTTTTCTGTTCAGTGCTTTTCCCTCCATATAAATTCTGGAACTTATCCTTCATTCAGACCAGATCTGATGCAATATTCTTCTTGCAGCATGCTGCTTGAGCAGGTTCAAATGGGGGTTTCCAAGCAGATGAGGTATACTTCAACCAGTCTAAAATAGGGCATATATTTAAGGTTCAGATTAAACCCAAAAGTAGAGCCAGCTGAATCAGGTAATGATTGCAGTTGTACTGTTATGCATCATTTACTGTGAAGTGTCTCTGCTCTCTGAATAAAAGCTTTTGAAATGCTGGATACGTAAGCAAGGAAACCAGTCGTCTCTGAGAGAGGCCCGTAATAAGGCTTTGTCTGAAAAAAACTAGCTTCTCTTACAAGCCGTGAGTGCTCTGTCCAAACCAATTTGAAATTTCTCATTCTCTGTTTTGCAAGATTAGAAATTGTTTTCAATGGAGCAACAAAATTATACACAAAATAATCATACAAAAATAGTTTAGAACACTTACTGCAGCATTTTCTCTCTGCTGTAGCACAAGGGGATTTCACACAACTGTGTGAAAACAACGTTTGTACCAAAAAGCAGTGGTTTCATTAAAATGCAGAATCAGGGAATGGTGTCCAGACCACTGCCACTCTTCCATCTGTTAGTGCTGAACAATAGGATCAGAAGGGGAGTTTGAACGTGGACTCCAGATTGAACACAGTACTCAACTGGTACCTGACCCACCTTCACACAACAGAACTGATGGCAAGAGAGGGAGCTTTGTGCAATTTGGATGGTGTCAATCAGTGTCAAGGAAACTTAATCAAGGAAATTTAATAGTGTAGATGTAGCTGTTTTCTTTTGTACCTCCTATAGACATAGATGTGAGAGAAGTACTGTGAAGTTCATTAGCTGTAATAGATTTTTCTCAGTTTTCTGCTAACTGCTGTCGGAACAATTCACTGGATCCCATTTGAAAAACCTGAGCTTTCCAGAATAACATCTTAAAATGCTGTTCAGGGCCTGCCAAAGTTTGAATGTGCCTTAGGTTTTCACTCCTGTTGTTTGAGGCTAAACACAACTGCAGATGAACGCCTTGGGCCTCTCCAGCAAACTCTGAACAAGTTCAGTGAATTTCTCAGTTCTTCCGGAGATAATCCAAGATCTTACTCTTTCACAACTATTAAGATAAAAGTATCTTTTCCTTTTACTCTGCATCAGAACAGATAAAAAAGCTGCTTATTATCTAATTTTTTTAAGTATGTAAATCCTGAGATTGTTCTCAGTGCCAAAAAGAAAATGTTTTGATTTCCCAACGTGAATGAACCAGATTTTTTTCTCCTCTTTACAGACGTTGATGTACATTGTCCCTTTCCACATGCAGAACTGATGTGCTGACTTAAAAAAACTTTGTTTCCTTCCCGATTTTGCTGCTTACTATTTTTCCACTTCCACAGTCTTGATTTTTTTTCCTACTTATTTGTGCCCTACAAAATGATAAACAGCTGGTATTTCTGGTTAATCTAGTGATTCTTGATCTTCCATGTGGTTATTTTGGTCTGTATGAACTGTAGTAGTTGTCCCATTCATTGATGGTGTATGAAGTTTATTGTATTTTTGTTGTGCCGTTTACTCAGGTGATCTTTACAGCAAGCAGTTTTTAAAATAGAAAATATTTGTAATAATAAGTGGAAGGTTCACTTCTGTGTGGCGTCTGAACAAGGGGGAAGAACCAAAGTTTTGATTCCCTGGATGGATAATGGTTGCACAGTCATTAAACTTTTCGTGGTTTCTGTTTTGTGTGGCTGATCATGACTGAGTCTTGTCAGCATGTGATGGACTGCTCTATAATCCAATCATCAGAAATGATGCTAGAATTTTGCAGTGCTTTTTATTTGTGTTTTGCAGTCTGTTGGCCCTTCTTTCTTATGTTTTGCTTTTTTCTGACTCTTGGGATTACTTTTTGGGAGAGTAAGAATTGGCTTGTTCAACATGCTATTCCATAAAAACTTCACATAGACCCAAAGAGCTGAAATAACTTAGTGTGAGTTCTTGTAGATTATACGAAAAACAAAACTGGATTGATGGTGATAATTCATAGTTACAATGTTCTTAACCATGCTGTTAAAATTGGACACTGAGGAGGGAAATGTTCTCTCTTAACTTTAGCTTTTGAAGTGTGGAGATTTGTGTTGTGGTTATGAATGCTCATTTAATAGCTAGTGAAAGGAGATGACTAGTCCAGACTTAGATCATGACACTGAATCTTTTAAAAAAGGTGAATGTATGAATTCCATGAAAAGCATGAATAGGAAATTTAAATTAATATTATTTACATATATAGTTTCTTGTTAGATCCACAATTTTAAAAATCCCGCCACAGGTTGAAAGTAAAGCATTTCTTTTAAAGACCATTGTCTTTGACAATATTTCATGGTGTAGTTTTGCCTTGGACACTGTGTTGTTTTGGTGAAACATGAAAACTCACTATTTTTCTGTGTAGTATCTGAAGATTATCTATGTTGCTTGTCCTGCACAGCTGTGCTCCACACAACTGCTGGGTGGATGGCGTATATGGATATGCACCAGACTTCTTGAATAAGAAACATGTAGTTTAAGAATGCATCACTGCAGCTCAGCACTAGAGCTAAATAAAATCATTGTGGTCTACTATTCCTAGTTGACAGACCCCCACCTGGGGTGCTGCATCCAGAGGAAGCCCATAAAGGTCATCAGAGGTCTGGAGCACCTCTCCTTGAAGACAGCCTGGAGAAGAGAAGGCTTCTGGGAGACTTTACAGCACCTTTCAGCACTTGGAAGGGAGTCTCCAAGAAAGCTGGAGAGGAATATTTTTTGATAAAACAAGAAGAATGGCTTTATAATGAAAAAAAGTAGATTTAGATTAGATATTAGGAAGAAATGCTTTATTCAGAGGGTGGTGAGGCACTGGAACAGGTTGCACAAAGTTCTGGATGCCCCATTGTTGGAAATATTCAATGTCAGGGCTCTGAGCAACCTGTTCTACATAAAGATGTCCCTACCCATGGCAGGGGGTTGGACTAAATGACCTTGAAAGAGCCCTTCCAGCTCAAATTATTTCATGATTTAAGTTGCTAGAACATTGTGGAAACTTTTTGAATGTTTTTGATAGAACATTTGTGACTGGAACTGTATGTCCTGGGCTTTGCAAGTGAAAATAAGTGTTCTTTGATAGGAAATGAAATTACTATTTTAACAGGAGAGAAGAATGTGATTATGCCATTTATGGTTAGGCTTTTAAGTTCAGAGACATTTGTATCATCTTGTCTTTCAAAAATACTGTGAAGTTTCTATGAATGGTTTTGGTAATGTAAAGCTTTTTTTTTCTGTTTTTCTTTTTTTTTTTTCTTTCTGCAGCTTCAGAAATTGCTCACTATGGATCCAATAAAGAGAATTACCTCAGAACAGGCTATGCAGGATCCGTACTTCTTGGAAGATCCTCTTCCCACGTCTGAGTAAGTGGTCAGTTTATTAAGCTGTCAGTACACTTAGAGATGCTTTAGAACTGTGCTTTCTCTCTGCCCTAAGTATGTTTGTGAATATTGAGCTAAATAGTGTCTAACAACCAAAGAAAGCTATAACCACTAAAATGCCATTTGTGGTTTTGAAAATTAAGTAGCATTTTTATTAATCTCTTGCTTTATGGAACTTTGATCCTATTAGTTGTAGCACTAATCTTGTTACTCACTGACAGGTTGATTATGCATGCTACAGATCTTGGTAGACAACTGCTAAGTGCCTGCAGGTCCACTTCTCTGCTCCAGAATGTTGGATGACAGTCTCTAATTAGTTTACATTTTTGTCTTAGCCTTTGTTGTAAATTCAGTGGGAGGGGCAAGTCAGCCCTGTGTCTCTGTGCTGTCATCCTTAACAACTTAAATCCATTTTCTGTAGACACTCCTCTTTTTTGTTTGCATAGGCAGATTTATAAAAAGGAGAAAATTTATGGACAGTGAGTGATTTCATTAAAAATTAAGCCCCTCTTCCAAAAGCCTAACCAGAGAGCATGACTGTACACGCTTTTAGGAAAGCTATTAGTACATCTTGTGTGTGATTCTGTACCCTTATGGAGGAAAGAATTTATAAAATATGTATATTTATAAGGAATTAATTAACAATGAAATTATTTCACTAAAACCTTCTGGATTATGTATAGCATCTCCTGACCTGTCTCTGATTTAAAGTCATGTAAATGATTGGCTGTTGCAGAAACTGCTTTTAGGATAGTGTTTGGCTTTTTCCTCAAAGGTGTTAGGTTGGCATTTTAATGTGAATACACAATGAGTATTGCCAACAGGTGTACAGAGATTTTATAATAAATACATTCTGCTGATGAAGGGCAGGTAAATATTAGCTTGTACCAGCAGTAGCAAATCCATGTGTACTGTGAGATATGAATTGACAGGTGAAATTTCTAGTTACTTTTAAACTTCTTTTCCAGGTGGTTTTATTAATAAACAGTGAAATTTCCAGGAATGTTTTTCAGTTAGTCCTGAGATTGTGAATTACACAGTAGCTGTAGTAAGATAGCTCTTTGTGCCCTTGCAGATACCTAACAGGTGGTATACCTTTCTGACCAACAAAATAATTATTGGGAGCTATAAATAATTATTGTTAGTGTATAAGACTCAACTGGACATTAAAATCAGATGCAAATACATTTTTAGTAAGTTTAGAATATGGTGATAGACAGGGAAAACTTCTACCTTAGTTACAGGTATTAAGTGATGCCTCTGGCAACTTGAAACTAGCATGGGTCAAGTGTGAATCTTACACATCTAACCCCTCTGTTCTAAAACAGTGATAAATAGACTTTTTTGGGGGACAGTGTTTTTGCAGGTTGTCAAATCCCTTACCCAAAACGAGAATTTTTAACAGAAGAAGAACCAGATGATAAAGGAGACAAAGTAAGTACTAGAAGAATAGTATCATCATGTTTCACTGGCTTTCATACTATTTCTTGATTTCATGTTATTTCATGTACTGCTTTTGAGTTGAAATTTTTCTTTGTGTTTAAACAATTGAGAAGAACCAGCAGCAGCAGCAGGGCAATAACCATACTAATGGAACTGGTCATCCAGGGAACCAAGACAACAGTCACACACAGGGACCCCCACTGAAAAAAGTGAGAGTTGTTCCTCCTACCACTACCTCAGGTGGACTTATTATGACCTCAGACTATCAGGTATTTTGTTTTATTCACATATTGTGTATTTGCTTTTTGTGTTTAGAGCAGTGTTTCTTCGAACTAAAAATGTAATTTTATAAATGACACTGTATTAACAGTTACTTTTTGGTATCTTTTGATTTTTTTTTCAGATTCATTTAGTTGATGGTGTGTTGATATGCTGATGCTCTTTAGGTTAGCAATAAGGAAATTAGGATCAGACCTTATTAGAGTTACTAGTTATTACCTTTGTATTAGGGAATGCTAATGGTTATGGTCCAGGATATGATTATGCTGTGCTCTGGATCACCTAAAAATGCCGTTTCTTGCTTGAGCAAGCCTGTAATGGTAGGAGGCAGAGGATATTCCAGTAAAAAAAGCTATGAAGTAAGAATCTGAAGAAGTGTTTCAGTTGGGTAAATGGATGTGAAAACAGTATTTTGGATTACAAATAAAGACTTGGCATGATGCTGACATAACCTCTCTTTTGAAGACCAAGGGGCATTCCAGGTTAAATAAGCCAAATGTTACAAATCTGAAGACGAGTGATGTGGTGGCAGTCAATAAGTGAGGAAGATGAGGAGACGCATTGGGAAAAAAGCATTAGAGGAAGACATGGAAAATGTGTTCTGGCTTTCCTACATTTGAGCTTGTGGTCAGACATTAAGAAATCGGAACCTGGAGTATAAGAACATCTTCGTCATCCCAGGGAATGATACCTGAGTTTTCGGCTTTGGATGAGGTTACTGCTGGAGACTGGGGAGAAGAGAATTAAGAACAGAACCTTTAGTTAATGGAAGCTAGGAAATTACAAAAGAGGAGCAGGGAAGACTTCAAATGATTCATAGGAGCAGTTAGAGAATGGCAGATTTGTGGAAGCCTAGGGAATAGAAGATTTCAAGAGGAGGCATGCTGCTGGAAATGTTAGCCTGCAGGATCTGTTGCATACTTGTTTGCATGGAATGCACAGTGCTGGTGGCCAGTTGGCAGGCTTGCAGGAAATCAAAAGATGGGGAAGCTGGAAACTACTGGCAATGTTTTCCGTTAATTTAAAGATTAATATCTAAATGAGAGATCCTGATAATGGAAACCTACTTTGCTGGGCTTATATTCTGTAGCAAAACATAGGGAGAGTTGAAAAATGGAGTTAGTAAAGCTGCTGCTGTCAACTTGTCGTTCAGCCTTCTCCATGAACCATCAGTGGGCTTTGAAATCTTGCACTTCAGAGTTTGTTCCTGAGAATACATTCAGATAGCCTCAGAAGCTGCCTGGGGGCATTACCTTCATCTTTACCTAAATCTGTGTACTCTCAGCATTGGCCAAAACTTGAAAATACTACAGAAATGTAAAATAAGGTCATTTTCAGGAGCTTTATTGTGAGACTCTTCATTTAGTCCCCATGTGCCTTTGTTCAGTTTATCCCAGGACATCAATAACGCATCAGTTTGCAAGTAATTGTCCTTGAATAATATACATTTTTAGGGCTGTTTGAGGCAGTGGTGAGCATTAACTACAGTTCTGCAGGGTGGGGTGCCTCTAAGTATAAATGTCATCTTTCTTTTAGTATGATCCTCCATAATAGGCACTCTCACAGGAGCTTCATCCCTTTCAATTTGACAAGCTGCAGTCGATTGCTGTTTTGCCCTTTTAATTAGCTCTTTCTACCACTTCTTAAAAACACACACACAGAGCAGAAAGCAAATGCAGTTGTAACTTTCTTAATCTTGCCCTCGGGTGGAGTCACACATCCAAGGAGGTTGATGCAGAGGTTGCATGTACTGTGTGTCAGGGAGCCCCATTTACATGCCCTATTTACATGCCCTTCACCTCATTTTGCTGCTGCATCATGGCATTTTGAACAAATTTCAGCTCATAGTTCTGTGAGTTTTGCTGGCTGACGAGTCAGAGAACTCAAATTGCCCAGGGCAGCCCTTGTTGACAAACATAATTTCAGAATACTTTTCCCTTAGGATAATGATAACTGCTGCTTTACTGTCTCAGCTATTCTTACTGGTAACTTGACTACTCCTCACTAATCTTTTTGCTGTCTCTTTAGGAGGGGAAATACCTGGTTTTCAAAAAAAATACATCTTCTCCCTAGCCTTACAAAGAGATAGTCAGTAGATTTGTGCTAATTAAGGCATCTGGAAAACATGATAATTAAAGAAAGGAGACCTGAACTTGCTAGCACAAGAACAAAAGCAGTTAGAGTTTTCTACTGATTGTTTCAGGTCTCTCTGAAAAAAATTCCTCACATTTTTTGCTTCTGATCCAGCAACTTGAGGAGATGGCAAACAAATACTACAATACAGCCCTCTGTTTTAATCAAACACCTATTCCTTTGTTCTTCATTTGATTTGCTCAAATTCCCCATATAAAGCTTCTGCAGAAGGATTGCCATCTCCTGGGCAAGGCACACTAAGACAGATTTGACATTCACTCAGAAGTCAAATGACTCTCGGCAGGGCACGTTGACCTTGTATCCTTTTCTACCATGCATAAAAATAGTAGACACATGGCACACAGACTTCCTTGCCTCCTTGTTTAAATCTGCAGTGTGACACTCCCAAAGGCAACGTGATTAAACAGGCTGGAGCAATTCCACTGCTCTGAGCTTTTGCTTGTGATAACCCTCTGGGTGCTTAATGGTATTTAGAAAGGATTGGATATTTACTTTTGTTATTAAACAAAAGCCATTTGTTGCTCTGGGTGTCATGAAAGAATCTGATTTTTCATTGCCTCTGTCTTAAAATAAGATCTGCTCTAGAAGACAGGATGCAGGAACTGTTTTACAACTGAAATAAATGGTCAGTTTTAAATGGTTAAACTTGTGATGGTTTCCTACATATAGGAGCCACACTTGGTCAAAACCAACGTTCAGGATTTTTCCTCTCTGAAGTACATCCTATATTTGTAATGTGGGGAAGGGTGACCTAGAGCTGTGACCCTTCTGTTGATGAATGACTTGGTCCTTCTTTCAAGGCTGAAGGCAAATGTCACAAAGTTCAGCCATGGTGCTAACGGTGCTGTTCAGCAGTGCTGGTTTGTTCTCAGTGCCATTAAGTGCTGGTTCAGCCATTTCTCCCCCTTTTCTTTAGAGGTGTTAGCTCAGTCCTGTGAGCATGTGTTAACAAGTAGAATATGCCTTTTTTGTTTCTGCTATCATCTCAGCATCCTGGGTGTAGTTTCTTTTCTGAGTGCTGTACAGCAAGAAGAAAATGGGATTTTTTTTGTTTTACGTTGTGTCCTAATATTTTACTTTCTCAGGGTGTTGGTTCACCACAATTTTTTCCTATTCAGGTCTCACTAGCAATACCCTAGTCATGGAATTCACTTTAGAGGTTTCCAGACCTTTCCTAGAAGCAGCTTTTCCTAAAAAAACATAATACATCCTGTGATACCAAGAATTCACAAGCTACAGAGTTTCTAAATGCTGCAAAATTTGTGAGGGTGTTTAAACCTTAATGTGAATGTAAACCAGCACAGTAATGTACTGAAATTGTGTTAATTTAATGAAATATTAAATGCTACTAAATGGTCAGATACTTGAATTGCAAATATTATAGGTAGTCCTCCTTTCCTTTGTAACACATGATCAGTAAATAATAACATTTAGGTCAAAATTGAAGTAGGCAGTTGCTGGTTTGCTGAGAGCTTCTTGCCATGATGAATGCTCCACTCAATAAATTACTGTGGGAATCCTAGTTGAAAGGGGCTTCTGGAGATCATCTAGCTCAGTCTTCCACTTGGAGCAGGTCTGTTGCTATTTCTAACTGAGGTTAATGTAGCTTTGTTTAGCTGAGTCTTAAAAATCAGCATAGATAGAGACCTCACAGACTCTGTGGGCAGGTTCTTCCAGTGCTGTACTGGTCTCTAGTGGTCCCTCCTCCAGTGTTCCACCTGAACCTCCCAAGCCACAATCTAAGGTCATTTTCCCTGAAATATGTGGTTCCACTGAGGAAGTGTTGCTGGGGTCTTTAAGCTCCCCAAGTATTTTGAGGCTACTGATAGATGACACCTTAGCCCAGTAACAGTGTTCTCAGCCTGTACTCCTAAGTCACACAAAAGGGTGACAAGTATATGTGACAGTCTCCAAAATAAGGCAGAGTGGCTCATCAGGAGTAAGATGCTTCATCTGGATCTCCACCCCAACCTACTTTCTTGGTAGGAGAAGGGAGCAAGTGGAAAAGACCACTGCTGTGAGTGGTGGTAGCCCAGTGTCATGTGCAGGTTCATTGTGACCATTGGGAGGGTTGGCTGGAGGTTTGACCATCATGGATGAAGATTCACAGTAGGCCATTAGGATGGATAACTGAAGGCTGGCATCTGTCACTTTCTAATCTGGTATTCCTGATGTTTTTTACCTGCTGTAATCAGGGTAAGTGAAACAGAGCCTGGAGGTGCAGCTGCTTTGAGACTGTGTGTGCTGGGTGCTTCTTGAATAAATGAGTCAGTAGGTGAAATTGTCAGGCTGTGTTGGTGTTATGATGGGTTGTGTGTCCTGTGCTTCCTCCCTGCAGCGTTCCAACCCCCATGTTGCCTACCCCAACCCCGGACCAAGCACATCGCAGCCACAGAGCAGCATGGGATACTCAGCTACCTCCCAGCAGCCGCCGCAGTACTCGCACCAGACACACCGGTACTGAGCTGCACCCGGTGCCGTTGATGCGCCGTCGCTAATGCTGCAGGAGCGGCCGCAGTTGCGTGCCTGGAGCCCGGCTTGGGCCAGAGAATGTACTGTACACCCACACCTCCCACCTGTCCGACCGCCACGACCCACCCCTTGCCACGGGGCCGAGTCAGGGCTCCCACGTTGTACCTGGGTTTGGGGTTAGACTTGAAAAGAAAGCGCTAGCACAGTTTGTGTTGTGGATATGCTACTTCTGTAGTTTACTTGACATGGTTCAGGCTGACCGATGCATTTTTTTCAGTGACGGTCTGTAGCAGTTGAAGCTGTGAAATGTGCTAGGGGCAAGCATTTTTGTTGTCGTATGTGGTGAATTCTCTTGATGTAACAACTTTATCTGACCAATAGTACACGGCATCTTCGAACTGGTACTTGAAGCATACAGTGTATGTTACCATGGCAAAAAAAAAAAAAAGCAAACTAACCGTAACTCTCAGACAGTTTTGATAGACGTTTATTTTTAGTGACTTTTGTGGGTTGGTTCATTTTCCACCTAGATCAATGTTTTATGACCGACACAATTGCTACGATGAGATTTTCTTAAGAACATGAAAGTGTTTTCATTTTTTCCCAGCAATTACAAATGTCCCAAAGATTTATTTCCAACATAAGTTTTTGTTTTTGTTTTGAAATCTATGACTTGACTGGTATTAAAGCTGCTATTTGATAGTAAAATAAGTATGTTGTCATTGATATAAACATGTTTGGTTCAGCAAACAAACTAAAATGATTGTCATAGACAGTGTTTTATTTTTTTCCTGTTGGTGTTAATGATTTGTGAGCATGCTTTGGGATTAAAAAAGCATGAATGGTATTTCCTAAAAAGATGCGGCACCTGTTCAGATATTTTGTCATGATTTTTGAGAACCAGCTTGGTGTAGTGGATTTAAAATTTTGTTCAGTTAATTTTATTCCTTTTTTTTAATGTTCGCACGTTGTTTAGGGGTGCCATTCCTACTGCAGAGGAACAAGGTGTTAGGAGAGCCTTAGAATTTATGAGGAAAAACTTACATACAATGTACTGTATCAAACTATTTTACATGAATGACACAAGTATTCTGAGTAAAAAAAAATCAAACATTGTTAAAACAAGGTGTTATGTAATAAATTTATTTTTCATAAATCTTCATATGACTTTTGCATGTGTTCCTTTGTATCAGTGAAAACACCCTGCTCCTCCATCCATACACCTATGTCAGGCTGTGTCCTGAGAAATGGCATCCAATGGGAATTTTTCTTGCAAGGCAGGCTTCCATTAACTGGTGAGAAGGATAATTTTTCTTTTAAACAGCCGAAGAATATGTCATTGCTCTTGTTCTGTACATGTAACTGATCGACTGGTGTTACTTTAAAAGTGGGTTTATTACTAGCGACATTGCCTAGATCAGACAGCTCCTTTTCATCTACAAAATCTAGAGGCATTCCTGTCTGAATAGTTCTTCTGAGGTTTCTGTAGCTCATTCTTATTTTGGCAGCTAATACTACACCATGATTTTGACATAAATATATGCAATATATGCAGGATTTTTTTCTGCAGGTGCTTCGTGTAGTGTGAATATCAACTGGCATGATTCATCCAAATACACTGAGATGCTGATGGGGGGCAAAACAAAAACCAAACCATTAGCCAGCCTGAAAGGCAAACCATGTTTGAGGTGAAGATAAAACTACCTGAGTGGCTGGAGTACAGACAGGTTCAAGTATTCAGGAGACTTAAAACTAAAGAAAATCTGAGTGCAGAATTTATGCTGCTCTTATGACACTGTTCGAGACCCTCTTAATTTTGATGTAAGAGGTGTCAAAATCAGCCTTTCCTTGATTTCTGGAACAAATGAATATTTAGGTGAGAGTGCCTTAAACTTCTTGGTGTGCTTTTCAAGTGAAAGCATTTCTAGTTTTTATCCTTAATTTATATATAGGCTTTAAGCTTGCCCATTTCATATCTCCAAACTGTTCCCAGAGACTCAAATGGTGCCAAGAGTAACTTTTTTTTGCTTAAGTCCTATTGGCCCAGATTTTGTTTTCTATTGATGCATATTCATAATAATGCATAATAGATAATATTATTCATGTGAAAGCAGACTTTATTTGATACCACTATATTGTGATGGCTCCAGTTGAAAAGTAGCAGGCTTGCTTTAATTTCATTTTTGCAAAAGGAAATGCATTGACAAAAGGTGGTCTTGCCATTAGTTAGTACTTGAATTTAATTTTCTTACTAAGAATGTATTTGAGATGAAGATGCAGCTTATCAACTAATTATAATAAAACTAAATTATAGTCTGCATTTAGTTCTGAATAGCCTGCTACTCATTCTTTCATATTCTCATCTTTAATAGATTTATTGCAGATTATAGCAACAAGCATCCTACAGGGAAGTCAAGTCCCAGTATTTGACTTGTACTGATCTCTCAGTCAGCTGGTCATTTGTTAAGAGGTGCTTTAGATTTCTTTCTTTAGGACTGTGGAAAGAAAAAGTTTTTCAAGGCTTGCTATAACCTCTGGTGCCTTTGAGACAGGGTATGACTCTTTATTGCAGATAACACATATTCATGATAATTATAAGGGATCTTCTTCATCAAGTAAGCTTTTCAATATTGTCTTTGGGACTATTGAGGGCAAGGCTCTAAATTACTTTCCCGAACTGTATAAAAATACATTAATTCTGCTGTTATGCTCTTGATGGGTTTTTTAACATGGGTGCTACAGATAGGGGAGGAAGAAGCAAGCACCTGTGAGGAGGGTTTCACAGTAGAGTTACAAATTCACCTGAGTAGAAGCAGCAGCAGCCAGTGTATGAGCTGTGCCTCTTTCCTCTCTTCGCCTGGCTCAGCTTTTGTTACTGGATTCAAGAGCCTCAAAGCTTTTCCTTATTCACCAACAGTTATCTGGACCGATCTGAGTGCAGTTAAAATAGCTGGAGTCTGGGAGCGTCTTTGTTGCTGTGATTAAGGGACAAATTGTTTTGCTTGAGTAGGCTTATGTTGAAAATGGGCTACAAGCTTAACTTGATTGGGGATAAAGGTGCTATTGCACCTTAATCTTGGCACTCCCAGCAAGCCTGGCCTGTGGCAGCTTTGCATTTACCGTACCAAATAAAGACCCAGCTGCTTTAAGAAGAAATAAATAACTTTTGCAGTGATCTCTTTTGAAGAGGGTTTCAGCGTTAATGGTGGGAGGAGCAGTCCCACCTGCCTAGAGGGAAGAACCAGAAGACTGGTTTTGTCCTGTTTTTTCGTCTGTGTGTGTATATATAAATAGGAAAATACTCAATGCACTCACTGAGTTGCCCATGGCAGTGCCCAGGCAGTTTCCGGCTGAGGGGTAGACCAGCGTTCAGATTTACTTTTAGCTTTTTTTTTTGTCCAGAGAAGATTTAGGCTGGATATTAGGAAAAGGTTCTTCACCCAGAGGTGGCTGGACAATGAAACAGGTTCCACAGGGAAGTGTGGAAGCCTAACAGAGTTCAAGCACTTCGATAATGCTCTCAATCATGTGGTGTGATTTTTGGGGTTGTCCTGGCCAGAGCCAAGAGGTGGAGTTTGATCCTTATGATGATGCTTATCCTTCCAACTCAGGATATTCTATGATTCCTTCATTCTGAAGCCACTCCTGTGCAAACTCTCTTTTGGCTTCACTGAAAGGCCGGCTGCGATCTCCGTCTTTCATGTGTGATGACTGTTGATGATTTTATGGGCTTGGTTAGGTAGTTTGGCTGCCACCAAGTGGGGTAATGGAGCCTGCAGGATCTCACAGGACTGGCTGTGTATCAGAAAGAAAAGGCACAGAGTATTTCTTGAAGCCGGTGCTGAAGTTGCAGACCTGCTATTTAGAGTAAATATTGTTGCCATGGATAAGATGAGCCTCATTTCTGCAGAAGGAATGAGCAATGTGGTGCTCCCCACACCCTGTTTTAGTTCCTCTCCTGAACAGAGCAGCCATTTTTTGTTGGGTAGTGCAGCCATCCCAGCATCTTCCTTTAGTCTGAGTGGTGACAGTGCTTCAGGCTGCCAGTTCAATATCAAGCATCCTTGGAGACCAAGGTAGATGAGCCTAATTCAGTGTAATTTGCTTGTCACAGCTATGGATAAAGAACACTCTGAAATAATTTGTCAGACGTCTGAATGATGAGATGTACAAACTGCTCCAGTAGTAGGATTGAGAGAGAAAAAGGTGCTTACCCTTTGAAAGCAAAACAGAAACAAAGCTGCTGCTGCTTTCATCAGGTCTCTTGTGATAAGTTCCTCTCCTCGAGGATTTCAGGCAGACTTTATCTTGGTGATTGCTTCAGTGATAGCAGAAGCTGTCTCCAGAGGACTGTCTGTACTTAGAGGGATCCTGTGCTGGAGTGCTGGGCACTGGCACTGATGTTAATGAAGCCATTGCCCTGGGGTGATGCACGCCAACTCCAGCCCAGGATAGGAATCTGGATAAGCTCCATCCCTGCTCTGAAAGCTCCCATGTCACAAGATACCGAAAAAGTACTTTTCAGCCTGCCAGGATTAAGGGTGCCTTTCCTTGGCTCTCAGGGAGTTTAATTTTCCCTAATTTAACTATCCCTTTGCATTTTTGGTCCTGCCTAGGACTGGGTAGTCCTCTGAGCCAGGGGAGGTGGTGAGAGGGCTAGTGCAGGTGTGTTTGTTATTTAAGCTGCCCAGTGCATCTTGGCATGTAGCTCTGTGCCCACAGAAACACCAAGGACAGCCTTAACGGCATGTGCTTTTGGGAAATGTTTCCATTTGCTCAGCCGGGGATGTGGGAAAGCTGCCATATCCTTGGGGCAAGCCTTTGTTTAATGTTTATGGGAGCTTTGAATTTGTACAATGTGTCACCCACAGCGTGTGAGGAGCAGCAGCCTCTCTCACCCCATTAGATACATAGGGAATGCAGCCGGCTGACCGAGAGAGGGAGGGAGATGAAGCCGGGATTTTATTTTTGTAAGGGCAGGGTTTACAGGAGTGCTGAGATAAAGGTGAAAAGCCCTTGAGCAGTGCTTATGGAAGGCATTATGGTAATGCCTGTCCCAAAGCCACTCTGTGAGAAGGTAAAGAGGTATTGTCTTACCTTGATGTGTGAAGATCACTCCTGTCTTTCATGGGAGGTCGAGGAAAACCAACACACTGGGCAGGTAAGGCAGTAGGATATGTTGTTTGGCATTCTTCATACCCGCTTCAGCCCTGTGCTCTTGTAGGTCAGAATATGGAGATACCCAGCAAACTGTGGAGCAGGAATCTTTAGGGATAAATCCCATGTTCAGGTGCCAGCAATGATCACTGTGGAGGGAGGAGGGTGTGTGCTTTGAGGGGTGCTCAGCTCTGTGCGGACAGCTCATACACAGCTGGGGCACTCCTGATGTCCTCTGCACAAGCTTCAGGCTTTGCTCTGGCTCTCTGCCTCACTATCTTCTCAGGTCCAGAAGA